TTTCTTGAGTAACTGTATACCAGACTCCGAACCATCTCCTTATACGAGTACAGTAAACAGAAGTCGTCGTGCTGCAGCAGTCAACATTTACCACTATTTTCTTCTCGCGATAAAGGTTCGAATCTATTTGCATGAAATCGATAAGGAGGTGAGAGCATGAAGAGAGCGAGGGGAGAGACGTTCGAGAAAGAAATCCGAAAATGCCCACTGGGAGATGTCGTTACTCGAGAGCCTTTGGCGCGGCAGAAAAGGGAGGAGAGGGGGACGGGGTGGATGCTCTTTAGAACGGCGAAACTAAATTATCAGATCAAACAGCAGCGCCGTTATATTAATAAAATAGATTTCGTCCGCCGCTCTCTCTCTTCAAAGGGGAAGAGCCCGTCGTTTCGCGTCTAACCTCGTTTCGCGCAACTCCCGATTTAATCAGGTTGCACGACTAAAACGTAGCCTTTTCATTTTCGTAATAAACCCTACCTATACCTCCGCGCGAGCCGTGCGAGACGAGCGTGCGGAGGTAGACGGAGGAGAAGAAGCCGCTGGGAACCTTATTACGTTAAGTAAATGCACGAGCCGCCGTTCGCCTCTAGGAGCTGCGTATTAATTAATGCGTCAGTTTGATGTAACCGTTGCTTGACGATTACGTAGCAAATTACTTTTGCGATAGTACTTCGCGATCACGTCGCTTGCCTGGTACGGGAGCCATCCTTGTACAATCCGTTACGAATCACTGGAATAGCGATCAATTTTTTTTTTCCCGGGGAGTCATAACGACGATTTCCGGTTTGACTTGGCCGAGAATTATTTTACCTTTTAACGGAACTGCTGACTTTTCTGAATCGACCTTCCAATCAAAGCTAGAGATGTTCTAAGATATCCTCTCTATAGTTTACTATCTTTGTGTACTGTATTAACTTTTACAAGAAATTACTTCTTTAATAAAATTATCTAATATTTTGTCAATATTTTATGTAATATATATGTGCGATAAAAGATCAGAAATTTATGATTCAAATAATTATTTTAAATTTCTAGAAAGTTGACATGCGAAAAATTGATTGAAGCATTTTTAGAAATTTTCAGTATCAGAAAATTGTTGAACATATACGATCTTGTAATAGAAACCTGGCATAAATTTACAACATTTGTTTTTCCAAACTACCATTGCTTGGAGGATTATGCGATAGGCTTAAAAGCGTCAGTCTGAGAGGAAGGGCGTCATTTCTGTACGCGCGCGCGCGATTAAGACGTAGTCCTTTAATTCATTATAACAATAGACGGAGAGCACGAGAGAAGCGGGAAGCCGCGGGCGCGCACTGAGGAAAATTTAGACTCGTGGACGTCGACAAGCTGATCGAAAGCCCCATTTAATCCCGGAGCCGCGAAGAGAAACAAAAAGCGAGATCGCATCGAGTTCCGCCTACATCCGTTTCAATTAACCAGAGCAAACTGTGATTTATCTCGGGCGCGCGAAGCAAGACACGAGTACTTTAAGAGGCATAACGATTTAAATTGACACATTTCTTCGGTCTCTCGTATCGCGTCTCACTCTCGTCCACGATGTCAATCCTATTACTGAGCGATTCAAAACATCCAGCTGTTTTCTTCGACACGTCAAAATTGTCGCAGATTCAAAATCTTCGCGGCATAATATCTGATTATCGATATATACCATATCTGTACATTTAAAAATTAAAGGATGAGACTTAAGGATAATTAACGTTAAAAAAATAATGAAGTGAAAAGATATCATAGTTTAACGTATAATTTATCTCATTCAATGTCTTATTAAATCGTATAAATTCGATCAAACGTACATTATTCACGAATATTGATAATAATCGAAAAATTTAATTAGTACATTAATTATGAAAATGATAAATTACTAATTATTCGCGCGATCGATCTCTTTTCACGTAGACCTTACACGAGGCAAACCCCTCTCCCATCTCCATCGTGATTAGAGTAAGAGTGTTTGTGGATTTAATTTTTCTACGGTATTCTCTCTCTAGCAATTACGTCAATGGTTGCCACTCAAGTCCCAATCGTCGACGTCTTCGAGAGTTTTCGATTACGGGAAAAGAGGCCAAGTCACATCGCTTTGTGGCCACACTTTTAATCCTCATCTAGTTATTCTCAATAATAGTTTCTCATGCATAAATGTTCGAGCATGTAAATGTATTTTTACATATTAAATATACTATGGAGTCTATTTTACATAAATAAATATTAATAAATATCCCGTGACTACATGTAATATGAAATCCATTTTCTGTATATTCATTTTAATAATTTAAAATAACGATAAGATTCTCTGGGGTTCCCCTTGCGAATTTGTAAGTGAATTCAAAATAGATAAATTATGTCAAAAAAATGGACGAGGGGAAGTGCTCTTTCTAGGTATTTATCTTTTTTTCGGAGACGTTTCAAGAAGAGAAAATATCGTTCTTGTAAAAATGCAAATAATTTAATGCACATGTTCTCGTATTCAGGTACATGTATGAAGAAAACGACAGTAGGACGCGATTCTCTCGACAGGTCACGGAGTTTATGGCGAAAAGCTCATTTATCTTTGGCATTGTCGGTATTAAAAAAAAGGAGGGAATCGAGGGAAATGATCCCTGGGAGAGCTGCCGCCACTGGCACCTCTCTACTCAGAGAGATCGCGCAGAGATACTAACGGATAAAAGTTGATAGGCAAACATACGCGCTTTTTATCTCTTTATCTTTATACCGCGCATCTGTTGCTTTATGAAGCCATTCATACGCCATCAGAAAGTTTAAGAGATATCTACTTCGTATATCGCCGATAAAATCTAATGATAATTATATTTTCCATGTTGTTACATTTCTGAATTTATATCTTCAAACGGAATATCTATTCAGTTTTATTACTAACGCGTGAGAAAAAATCATCATCTATCCTGTGAGAGTAATAAAATGCAAAATTTTGTGCAATACCAAAAAATTCTCTGAAGTCTATATAAATAATATATAAATAATAAAGAATTAAAAATTGTGCATGAGTTAATAAATAAAAAATATTTAAAATTCTGAACTTAGAATTATTATTATTAATCATAATTGTCTTACTGTAGATAAAACAATATTTTTCTTTAAATCATTTTCTAAATTTGCTCTAACGTTACCCTTCTAATCATATTATATAACTGTACTTTAATAATGTTCCTACTCCTTCGCCGGAGAGATGAAACGTCTGTGACAAGATTTCCCTCCCCGGAAGAGAGACACGTGTGCGTGGAGAAAAGGGACAAGCGCCGCGAGAAAAGGAGGGAAACCGAGTTCGATGCGCGCAAAGGGGTTAAGGCGACGTTTTGGGGGGTCTTCGCGGAGGAAGTTGACCCAGGTGCGAACCGTCAACCTCCGAACGCGAAGATCACGGATCCCGCGCGATGCAACGAAAACAGTTTGCGTCTTGTCACTTCGCGTGACTCGCGTATTAAGTTCAGCTCTGACGCGCGGTTATATTTTCAGACAGGGTGGTCCTAGTATGTACCTCAAAGCACCTACTCGAATATTCCTTCGCCCGTTCAAAGGCGCCGTCCTAGAGACGATGGTATGTTTGCGCAACAAATGACTCGACTAGATCAAAAGACGTGGATTTTCGACAAAAGCCGCGCACGGGCGAGTGCATAAGAATTATACGAAAGCGAATGTCAGGCGCTAATAGCTTTGGCGACAGGAACGCAAAGAGAGATCAAACGCTGATTAATAAAGAGAAACGTTGTAGAAAAAGGAAAGTAGTTTCAAACTATAATAAAATTGAACTTTTTACATGTTTCTTTTTTATATTTTGATTAACGTGAAATCTTGTCGCTTTCGTGTTATTTCTTCTTACAAGTTCTCTGCATTGTCGTTCCAGTAATCCGCTTTTTATCAAAAAGTACCATCTCAGCGGCTCTAGTCCTTTTATTGAGGAACTTCACAAAAAATAGAAAAAAAATACGGGGGAAAGATACGTAAAGACACGTTACAGAAGTTACGATTTCATTGTAGATGATTGCCCGCAATTACGTAGAGCGTTCGTATGGTCCGGGAAAAAGTGGAACGTTGCTAATTATGCTCCGATTACCCTAATCAGCGAAATAATGCTTCGGTCGCCTGTAAAGATTAATTTTAATAGCCCGCCATTTGTAACTAATAATCGAACATCCTACGATATTGCTCTATCCTTATTCGGTGATACAAAAAGTATCGGCATCACCTTTTTAAGTCGTGGAAAAGATACGCAACTAATAATAAATAATTCTTCACTTAAGTGTCAAAGCTGTTTGTCTTCATAAATTTTATACAAGATATCGTGGGGGGGGGGGCGTAAATTTATGGAATCGTTAACGATAATCGCATTTGATTTGCCATTTCCCCGAGCATCGCACTAAAACGGTCAACTGTCAATTAAATATGTAATATTATATTTGTGCTAACATGAACGTCGATATGTCTCTCGTCACAATACAGTATTTTTAATTAAAAATAATTTCAATTTAACGTGCGCTCTATTTTTTAAAACAAATTTTAATTATAATTAGCTTTAGCTTTTATTGAAATTATTGTATCGTTCATTCCCGATATTTGATAACGATAATTCAAATTGACATTATTTTATTATTTAACATAAATCTACGCATTTCCTACCAACTTTTGAAGTGTATCGCGAAAGGATTATTACTCAGAATCGGATAAAAATTATAAAGAGATTTTTTTTTTCTGTAAAATTTTGACGCGACGGATTTTTAAAATCAATATATCAGGAAAAACGAATGAAATATATTAAAAATTACTTGGATCTTTGCATAAGACGAGGTAAACGTAATTCTTCCGCGACATTCAGAGTGTCGCCCGTTTCGAATATATATGTCAATAAAAATATTTTTATCATTTAAAAGAGGGTTGGCTTCTTATATGATGCGATGTCAATATCGAAGCTTCAGGATCGCGTAATACGAGACTGCGCTCATAAATTGAACATTTGAAGGACTTACCCGGCAATATCTTGAACGCGAGTCTGCAAGACCGTTTTCTCAAAGAGCTCTTCAGGGATCAGGCTGCACAGCAATTGCGTCGCGCTGGCGGCTACCATTCCATTTCCGGTTGAATTGGCGGATACGTCCTGGGTCTGCGTGTGGTCGTCGAGACTAGTCAAAGTCTGTGAGGGGAGAAACGTAATGATTACAACAAAAGATGTAATAGATATTTTTATAAAATGTAGGAGATAGTGTTGCGTTTGCGAATGTGCTCTTTGAAAGATGCATAATTCCAATTTTTCTTAAAACAAACGCGTCAGAATTATTAACGTTTAATTAAAATACAAGAATATTTGCGATTAGAGAAATGTGTGTACTCGTTTTTTTTTTTTTTTTGTTCAGTTAATAGCGCGAAAAAATTGCGGCGTCTGTAAGAATGGAGCGAGAAATGTGAGAACTGGAATCCATTAGATTTTAGTGTACAATTACATATCGCAATTAAAAATGACAAAAGGTATATCGGAATGCAAGAAAAGAAAAGAAGAAAGATTGTCATTCCGATGAAATAATACTTCTCTCTGGATGTAATAGATGTGAAAGGAATAGACAAAGAGAAAGAGAGAGAGTCATTAATATTAAAATCATTAAAACGAAAATACGCGCGTGTTGTATATTTCGCCAAAAAACACTCGCTGAGAAATTAAAGAGCCGGTAAATTTTTGATATCGGATAATTAAAGAAATTTCAGGTATGTTTTCGCTTTTACTAGGAGACGTATCGCTCGCGTTACATCGGTCGGCTGGTTACTTAGCGTCCGATTCTGGTCGATCAACCAGACGCTAGACACACATACACACGCCGGATTCCTGATCCGTTGAGTCATTGTTACAGACCCGTTAGACCGCGAGCGGACAACGCACGCATACGTACGGGCATTTAGAACGCTAAATTAGTGGTAACGAGTCACAAAGGGTCCCGATAAGAATCCTGGAGACAGGGAATATGGGTCCTAAACGGTTTAGCCTCGGCTTCGATAAGTCGTTCGAGGAATCCTATCGAAAAGTCGTATACTACACGTTTGTTCACTTTTATTTGGCTTCTGGCCGCCATGATCCACTCGCTTGAATATATCGTAACGAAAATTACGCTTAAATTGTAGTGAACGAACGCGAAAGCGATTTTGCAACATTCTGCAACAATCGATTCTGAATTCGAATCAGATCTCTTAAAAATTTTATCCAAGTTTTTTAAACAATCCCGAATTTTTTTTTTATAATATTTAATATCGCTAATTAATATATACGTTATAAAATTTATATTCTTTCTGGAAAGAACATCTTTTTTTTTCTACTCTACTTTTTTTTAAATTACATATTTGGATCACGTGAAAAATGTGTACGATGTATGTCCCCGTACACGTCTATTATTAATTTCTAAAAATTATTATTAGTTTTTAAAGAGATATCGTGGCGCATTCACAGAAAACTCTAGGACGCATAATCTTTTAAGAACTATTGTTGCGCCGGACGAGCGTCTTGGATGGAAGAGATAATGTTACGAACCGGCCTGCTCATAAGAGAGGTAGCGAAATAATCTCCAACGAAACATTAAAAAGTGGTTTGACCACTATCTTGACAAATTCAATCCCATCCGTATCGAGAAGAAAAAAAAGCCACGACATTCTCTCTGATACGGAACGAACGAAAACAAGACGCCAACAAGACGTTGAAATTTCGAGGAACGCATATATCGAGTACGTGCGATCGTAAACAGGAGATGCTTTTATGTTAATCCAGTTCTTTCCAAACGTTGAAAAGTCAACGAGACGATCTTAGAGAATTCTACAACGAGAAGTCTACGAGACATCGATAATACAGTTTGAACTCTACGACTTTATGATTAATTTATAAAGTGCATATAGTTTGTAAATTTTACATTCGAAATTTTTTGTTTGCGAAGTTGACAAAAGCAATTAAAAGTATATTTATTATTGATAATGAAAGATAAATTATAAAATTTATATTCATATTATATTCATTATAATATAAATTTTTCCTCGGCGAAAATATTTAAACATTAAATGTTTTAATTTAAAAGTATGCACGACATTAAAAATAAAGAATCTATGGCAAATAGGTTGTACCGTGCATATTTTTTACGCGTATATGTTTAATTCTCTGTGATTAATATTAAACAAAAAGACAATATTGTCTACTATGAATCGCTACATCTCCTTTATATTTCAATCTATACATTGCTCGCGGACTTTAATTCGTTTGACAACTTCTTTCCCTTTTTTTACGGTCAGCAAATACAATTTGTAGTCATCCAAATCTTTCTTCTGCGTCTATCAATGCAAATGCAGTCACGCATACACGTATGAATCCTCAAACGAAAGGGAGACGGCCTTAGAAGACAAATGATTTCAAGCAATTTACGTGGAATTGTAAATTTGTTTGGTCGACGGACCAGTGATTGGGAAACATTCGCGGGAAGGGTGGGGAGAGAAAGGGGGAAATGGACGAACTCCCTTCGAATAATTCGTCTTTTTGCGTAATGGTCCAAACTATCCAAATTTTTTCGATCAGCAAGATAAGAAAGATGCATTAAAATAATTCATCTCGATTTTCTTAAACATTTTGAACTCGATTAAAAACGCGGCTCTTGGTCCGTGATACGCATCGCGATTCATTACAAAAGAAATAAATAGCGCTACGAAATGCTATTGAAATAATAGACGTTACATTTACGGATCATCTTTTCTATTTTTTAATTGGATGTACGCCGATTACCTTCTCGTCGAACTCGACGCAGCGGTCCCATCGATTTAAAGCGTATTAAAACGCTCGTATATCGGGAGAGAGACACGGCAGTTATAAAGATAAAGACGAGAATTTTGCGCGTCTAATCCCGCTTATCGCTGAATTTTTTATTTGACGAGAATCTTTATCTCCGCGGCTCTTTTTACGACGCGACGTCTTTTTTTCTGGCCCATTTAGTAACGAGGTGACTCCCTTGTTTCTATTTTCTCGACAATCCCCGTATCGCATACGGAGACGAACCTGACCAATAATACCGGATAGTCTAAACGGAGCTGCGTCATTATATATATATATACGAACAGCAATAAAGGCAAAATGCCTGTATAAAACAAGTGAATTCGCTTCCAATATTTGCTTCAACTGTACGAAATTTGATGGTTATTATAAGTCGGACATGTGTCTCTTGACTATATTGTATTAGTCTGAACGGAATAAAAACGAATAATGAAAGAATAATAATTCCCGCGAAAACGAGATATAAATACCACAGAATCTTGTCTTTACTAATTGTTTTCAAGTATATGTCAATGCGATTAAAAAGTAAACTAAAGATAAAAGATATTATTACTTGATTTTTCTTACATAATATTATATAATTACATAATATTATATAAATATATAAAGTCTCTGAAAACAAATATTTCTTCTGGTTTTTTTTTTTCAACTATTGTAAGAAAATTTTTCTTTATCAGAGAATTCAAGCGTTAAAGTATCATCCATCATAAAGAAATACCAAAACCGATATAAGGGATTATAAAAGTTTAGCGAATCAAAAAATAGAATACTTTTTAACATCGTATAAAATTTGTATTTATATGATGTTAAAAGTATCTTATTTTTCGATTAGATTCTTATATAATCCCATAAATCTTCTCAATCGATATATTGCAATTTCTCTGCAATTAAACACTGTTCTTCATTAGAGTTGCTAAACTTGGTTCGTTTAATTAATTTACTTACTTATCAAAAGTCCATAGTTTGCGCATTTCGTGCATTTATACGCTAAATCAATTTATATCGAGAGTTCTTGAAGTTCGACAATAAGAAAGTATCTTTTTATAGGATAATATTACGTTTGCAAATTTATAAATCTGCTTCATTTTTATTTCTAACTTTTTCATCATGATTCTTGCTATGTTTCCGTAGTTTTCAACAGATATGCCGTGCCTTAATCTTTCAAATATCAATTTCCGTTTGCTTTGGAAAACGACTATTTGTTCACAAAAACATTTGAAACGATATAATCAAAACCGTGAAACAATCTGACGAAAAACTGTAATCTCTAATAGATATTCCTCGTATAAATTTTCGTTTTAAACTTTCAATTAGAGCCCACAAAAATAAAGCGTCGGTAGCTTTTCCTTGTGTAAAATCTCGCCCGCGTTCACCGCGATTGTATCGAAGGAGGACGAAGGGCGGTAGCTCTGGAAAATTGCAGCGCGCATTTCGGATTCTAGGACGTGCGAAGAGGTTGTTGAAAAAGCGCCGATAGAAGGAGAGGAGACGAGACAAAAGATTAGGCCCGGTCCTCGAAACCCGGGCTTGATGGAAGTGGAAACAGATATATATATATATACGAACAGCAATAAAGGCAAAATGCCTGTATAAAACAAGTGAATTCGCTTCCAATATTTGCTTCAACTGTACGAAATTTGATAGTTATTATAAGTCGGACATTTGTCTCTTGACTATATTGTATTAGTCTGAACGGAATAAAAACGAATAATGAAAGAATAATAATTCCCGCGAAAACGAGATATAAATACCACAGAATCTTGTCTTTACTAATTGTTTTCAAGTATATGTCAATGCGATTAAAAAGTAAACTAAAGATAAAAGATATTATTACTTGATTTTTCTTACCCGGTCCTCGAAACCCGGGCTTGATGGAAGTGGAAACAGGAGTACCCCATGCGTATTCTCTCTCTCTCTCTCTTTCTTTCTCTCTTTTTCTCTTCGCGCGGACGGACTTTCCTTTCACCGTATAACTCGGCTCCATCCGCGCGCGTCACGTTTGTGCGTGCGTGCACGCGTATCTGTATGTGGGTGACGTCACTAAAAGCTCTCTCGCCCGCCGCTTAAACATACGATGCGTTTGAAAGCGTAAATCTCGTCGCACGTCGATGATTTCGAAGAGACATGCGTAAAAATCAGACGCAAAATATAAGATAGTCTTACTAGAAATTCGAAAATGACGAATGCGAGTGGCGTAAAATATCTCTTTATGCATCAATAAATTCTATTATTCTTGTATTCCTTTCTTGTATCGCTATAGAATAAAGATATATGCACTTGTTCAATATATGAGCATTTTACCGTATATACAACGAAATTATTTATTCAAAATGCATGACCAGAAG